ATGAAGACTTGCGAATAATTTTGAACAACAGTGTGATGGATAAAATTTTTGAACTTATTCAAAATAAGGGAGGCCCTACCCATTATTTATAATAGTTATTTTATTTTATTTAAGTTTTAAAAAATTAATTTTGCTAATTTTGTAAAAGGGCGTCTATAGTTATACAACACCAGCAATTTTGAAAGTGCAGAATTCGGCGAAAGCATAAAGAATAAACTAATTATTTTCCTTGTATAACATGTGTTTTTGATCGTTTTATTGTGAACAATAACTTAATGGGTCCATTTGATTTGTCAACTAACATACCAATTGAATTAAGAGTGTGTCTATAGTTATGATACGCAGTGTATTTATATTATATTATTATTTATATCATTGGGCAGGTGGTTAACAAGTAAACATCCATTATGCTCAATTTTTTGTTTCGTTAATTCCAAACGACATCTTTTTACTCTTAAAACAGAATTATTCCTCGTATCGACAAAGGTTTGACTCATTTCAAATTGTATTGACTGATGACCGATATCATGGGTAACTTTAAACATATATGTCAGCATTTGAAGTTTATAAGTACCATGTATAGGGAGAATATTTTTTGCAATATGTTTGTAGAGTTCTGTTTTGGGGTAAAATCTCGACAAGTTGAAAACTATTATAAGTGCTTTATTTTGGGTTCTGCAATGATTTCAAGTATATATTATTTTTGTGGGCATATATGATTGCCAAATAGTTGAAATGACTTTGAATTAGTGAAGTATATATCAAAAGTTTCGTTTTTACATTAAATGTATTTCTGAATTTATGGAGGATACCAATAGCAGGCGCAACTTTTTTTCTTAGTTCATCCATATGCACATTCCATGCCAAATTATTTTGCATATATATGCCAAGATACTTTAACATTTGGCACTCAACAATTTTTAAATCTCCAATTTGTATATGAAATTCTTGATTATATTGTGGACATCGAGGTCGACATCTGATCACTTTTGTCTTATTTGTATTACAAGTTTGTTTAATCTACAGTAACCCATAATTTTAGCAGCATCCTGTTCCATTTGTCCCCTTAAAATAGTAATATGATGATATATCATCCAAATAGCAATATGATGATATATCAATATCATCCGCATATAGAACTAATTTTCCATACAGATTCATATTGGATATATCATTAATATACAATGTAAACATCAGCGGTCCCAGAACACTCCCTTGTGGTACACCATACCCCACAGTACCAGTTTTACTTTTTGCACCATTAATTTCAACAAATTGTTTTCTATTCGTAATATAAATTCCAATCAGTTGTAACGCATTACCACTAATCCCATAATATGGAAGTTTAGACAGCAATATTGTGTGATCTATAAGGTCAAAACCTTTTGAAAGGTCATCGCATCCTGCGTTCCGCTTCCTTTCCGAAACCTGAATTGCATTGGATACACCTGACCAGTCTGTTCGAGATATGTTGAGAGCTGTTTATGCAACAACTTCTCAAATATTTTATCAAATAATGACAATAAGGTTAATGGCCTAAAATCACATGCTTTTTTGCATTTGGCAGTTTGGGTACTGGTACAATTTTAGCTATTTTAAGAACTTCTGGATATATATACTTGTTTACCATATTGTTGAAATTTAATAATAGGTGCTCCCAAATATAATCTTTAGATGTATTTTAAATTTTACCTGATATTTCATCATGACCTGGACTTTTGGCATTATAAGCGGTTCGATAAGGCTCATAATATTATTTCTGCTTTCAATATTGAACGAAAAAGTTGATGCGTATCTTGTCTTGTTGTGAATAATTTTGTTTTTCAAGATTTTAGGAATATTTAAAAAGTAATCATTATCGTCATATACTTGTTCATTGGCTTCATTGATAAGTTGAATAGTATGCTTATCTTTTCTTCCTAAGCATTTGTTAAGAAAATTCCAACTTTTACGTGGATTTTGTTCCAATTTCTCTAGATTCCAGCTTATATAGGAATTCATACATATTTTGCTGGAAATTTTTATTTTTTCATCCTTGCCTCTCTTTCTCTTAGCCAATAGCTTTTCTTTGTATATTTTGAGCGAAGTTAGGTGTTTATTCTCCCATGGAGTTAAAATTGGTCTCGACAAACCTTTAACTGTCGTAAAAGTTGTGTTTGCTTTGATTATTTTTGTAATTGGCGATGTTATTATCTCTAAATCATCAGATGGATCATCGATATGATCAAATTTATCCATTTGAATCTGAATTTCTTGTGGGGATATTTGAAGTCAAAGGTTTACGTTAACAAGCCAAGGACCGTAGAAGAGCTCAAGAAATAGCCGCCATGCCGAAATGTTAGCAAAAATGATAGAAAATGCAGCAAGAAGGGCACAATACGTCATCAACGCCAGAGGCGGCCATTTGAGAGATATCATATTCAACAATTGATGTAAACACATCTACTTGGAACAAGTTAAATGATTAATATGGCCAACCGCCAAATTTTTATTTTTTCTTTGATTTAAAAAAAACATGCGTCCGTCGAATATGGGAACCCTTTATAAAATGATGTACCTCCATATCCATCATTGCGGCAACAGTGTATGGCATTATACCCAGGGACTGCATAAATTTGTGTTATATTCCTTTGGAACCACGTTTTTTGTATAGCAATGATCTTCGGCAATACTGGAAGATTTGCCACTACTGATTTAAATGTATTAAATTTGTTTAATGAGGAAATGCAATACATTTACAGACAAAATATTCAATTTGTATTTAAATACGGTGATTTACTAGTGATACAAAGTCGGCATTAACTTCAACAGCATTGTCATCAGTATCCTCTTCTTCTTCTGGAACAGATAAAATGCTCATCGATCTTCTTCCTTGGAAGTTATTTGGTGTTGCTTTAAGTAATATTTCATCGATATCTTTTTTTCTTCGAATTAGTTTCGGTTTATTTAAAGTGCTTTTTTTTAACGTAAATTTTGTTACCGTATGTATATATGTATTTATAGCCCACTGTTTTTATTGATTTGCCGTAGTTGAAAAGTTCCAATAACTCTTTGCGTAGGAAGTCGTTCACATATATTGACTTTGTACTTTCATTCTCTTTTAACTTTTTTTTTGTTTTTAGCCGATTTTGAATTAAATTTAACAACCAACGACTGATTTTTATTGTTTGTGTTTCTCTTTTTTAAAAAGTATGCCTCTTCAATATTCTCTTCATTCATTTGAACACCAACTGTTTCTGAGAGGGCAATAACAGCTTGCACAGCACTTTGATTACCTGTGTCACTAAGTCAATTTATGACGCAATCATTTTTGACCCGTTGGCCATTTAGCATTTTCACGGATTCCTTTAATGTTTTTATTTCCGATTTAAGGATTGTATTTTCTTCCTCTACATTATCTATTTTTTTTTTTTGTATTAAGTTCATCAAATTTACACGACATGAACTGAACTGACTCTGTGCGGCGATCAATTTTATCAAGTTTTTCCTCCATACGTTTTAACTGGTTTGTTATTATAGCATCCGGTTTACCATCACAAACTTGACAAATATATTCGTCCTCTTCATGTTTTAATAAATGCTCATAATGTTTCTTGTCCAGTTTCGTACATATTATATGATAAAGTTTGGAGGATTTATCACATTCAATATAATCATCTTTATCTTCATTTATATCAAGTTTACAGTGAGCACAAACTATCCTTTTTGATCTCAGGCTTCTACGGCCAGTATTTGATGGCATTTTATTTTATTAATTAATATAGAAAATTTGAGTTTTAATAATTTAGTTTTTTTATTGTTTTATTTGAAATTTTTATTTTATAATGTATTCCAAATCTTTGCATACTTTTAGGCACATGTATATATTCACCACATATGATTAAAAAAGTTAAAAATTTTATGTTTATAGAGCATACTTTTAGGCCGACATTTTATTAACAAAAGTTAAAAATTTGAGTTTTTAAAGCATACTTTTAGGCCGACATTTGATTAACAAATCTGGATTAAAATGGCTAATTTTTAATGCGCAGTTTAAGGATGAAATTGTAAAAAACAACTTCTTACTTTTCTCTTTTTTTAGCATAATGGACTGCTTCACACTTGACTTTTGGCATAAACTTCAAAATGTTTTGATCTGTGCACTTCCTCAGTCTCTCTCCACTATTTTTGTGTGTTTTTCTTATGCTTTCAATATTTGTTTTAAAACACATGAATGTTTTAGTTAAAATGCACTATTTTTCGCTTATATATAGTAACCAATCTCACTAGCTGCACTAGCAATCATATAATGGTATATTTATTAACTTTTTAGTGTTTAAACTTTTCAAAACCGTCACAATTATTGGAGCTAGGAAAACACACATCCGATCGCTTTAACTTCTTCTTCTAGTTGACCACAATGCCAGAATCGAGAGTGTTAACGGTTTATATATATTTTGGTAGTGCAAAACAGTCAGGCGAAATTCCAATTATTAGTGAGAAAAATATGGCATTGTCCACCAAGGGGTAAGCCAAAAAAGTCTATAGTTTTGGATATCGCTACAAATACTCATCAGTTTCCTAAGTTGTTTTTGTTAAATATTCATCCCAGTAACTATTTATAATAAAAAAAAACGTTCATACCCAGATGCCACTTGTGACAAATCGAAATACTTACGTTACCAGCGATACCAAATCATTGAGAAATTCGTTGATGCCTTACTTCCTGGTTAACAAGGTATTTGCATTTGTCGTCGTGAGGTGGATAATTTAATAACAAGTATTTACATAAACCAAAATTTAACCATGTCCAGTTATTTTTGTTTTGTCCAGTTGTTTTTTTTAAACCCAATGTCCAGCTTTTTGGATGTAACTACCCTAGTATAATACTGTAAAAATTAGGGACATGTATCGTATGTGCCTAAAATAGAGAAGGGTATCATTTAGTCGGCACGTCCGACTTTTGAATATTCTTTGTTGGTTTCGGGACTATATTCTAACTTCAAGTGACTTTCTTCCAGGTGCTGAATAAATTCGACTATTTCTTTACGGCTGTCTTCACAATAGAACTGGTGTTAAAATTGATTTCATACGGATTTGTACTTCACGATGGCGCTTTCTGTAGATCTGCTTTTAATTTATTGGATCTACTAGTCGTGTGTGTCTCTCTAATATCAATTTTCTTCAAGTAAGTACATAAGTATACATCTCCTTAATATACACATTTAGTTTTTAGTTTTTTTTTTTTTTGAGAATCTTATATATTTATAAGTATTTCTAATATTATATTATTATATAAATATGGTCAGGTAAAACTATACGTCAAAACTTTTAAACGTGTAAAGGAAATTCGAAACCACATGCCAGGCAATTGGCACAATATCCGTAACAATAATGCACCATACTGTACCTGTATTCCGTTAGTCGCATTCTTGTTAGGAACCTCTTGCGTTCTTGTGTGAATAAGGAGTATTTAGTAATGAAAATATATAGGTTTATAATAGAGAATGAAGCGTAGATATTAGCAAAACACTGAGCTGAACTGAAAGACTTAACCGGAATTTTGCTATGAATTTAGATAATTGAACTTGTGAATCAATTACTTTTGAAATAGAATGTACACCCATAAGAGAGTCATATACATACATTGAGTTACGTAGAATTTCAAATACCAAAAAATATGATATCGGCCATGTGGAACATTTTGCGGATAGCCAACTGGGAGCGGATATGATTGATTAAAAAGCGTTGGTATCCACTACAATAAGCGATACATTTTTTTATGTCGCATTGAACAGATTCGTTGTCGCCATTGAACAGATTCGTCGTTGTATGATTCTCCTTCAGGTGAAAATTGTTTTCAACTTTTATTATTTTCGTAATAAACATATGTTTATAATACTATTAGGAATTCCTAACCGTGCTAGTTTATATTTTAATAATCGAAATAAATTCGGCTTCAACTTTAATATATAATAGTTTTTTCTTACATAACTATTTTGAATTTTTTGTTAAAACAAGTAAAACCATATATGCGGTTATACCAAAACGGGGATCGATATTGATACATTTTTGTACCTAAATTTGTCAGCCAATGGGAATACAAAATATCAAATCTTTTCTAAGCAGAAGATTAATGCTTGTACTCCCGTAATGTTCAATACTCAATTAATGATACGTGAAGACAGAATGTTGTATCAAGTACAAAAATATAAATGTATTTCTTTTTATATTATACTTTATAATCTTGGGCAAATGTAGTTATGGGATCTAACCTTTTTTGTTTTGTTGTCAGCATTCATATTGGCTGGGGAGCCATTTAATTTAATTTTTCTTACTCTTAAATTTTTATTAGTTTTTATAATATTAATAAGGTAAAACATCACTACCAGAGTTTTAGCTCTTTTTATTATTGTTATCTCCAATACATGTATAATTGGCAAAGAAGCTTTCTTTGTATTGAGTAAATAAATAAATAAAATGAGATCATATTTTACAGAACAGAAAGTAAATTAAAGAGAGGCGTCTACTCTTTTTTAGAATATAAGTTTTTTCTTACATAAACCTTCATATAAATATGGAATAAAACTTATATACATTTATGATAAATAGCTATACTTAATGCCGGAAGGTTAAATCTAAAACATGGTATCTGTTTAACACTTTAGGGCCAATATTGCCCAGAGGCAACAAAATGTTTTCCAATTGTACGAAGTCTGCCAACAGAATTATTTTTTATTCTTGTAAAAATTATTATAGGGAATGTTAACGCCAAGGTTAGCTATGCTGATCACCCTATTTGATATTTAAAATGTTCTTTCATTTGCTTAAATTTGCATCTAACCCTTGGTACTAAATGTTAATGTACAAAATGCAAATGTTTGCTTTTTACACTGGTTGTTCCTTTTTTCATTTATGTAAATATATATACTTCTTTTCTAACCAACAAACATCACTGTTCTTAGTAAGATTCACTTCCAAATTCTATACGGAATTTCAACCAATAATATTCCACCAATTTGGCCCATTCGCACCGGATAATTGGATAGCTGTTGCAAAATTCTACAAATAACATTTGTTTACACCATTAATTTCATCAAAAACAAGGTAAGTTTGTGCTTTTCATTCCTAAAGTAAACAATAGTGCATTCTTATGTGTGGTGTTCATGTGCGTTTTGCAGACGGCAATTGGTTTTTGAATTTTTTTTCGAAAGCACAGTGTTTCCAGCTGCAGTGTAAATTTCTTTAATTTTCAAATTAATAAAATTCAAAACATTGGTGGAATATTCAATTATTATATTTTCATATTATTATTTTCATTATTTATTCTAATTCATTTTATTACGCTCGACATACGTATATCATTTCTATTCTTGTTTGTTTGCTGTTCTTTTGTTCGGTCATCCAACGACCAGTGTTCCTTACCACTGTAGTTTTTGTTGTTATAGATCTAACTGCCGTAGCACTGCTTGTTCTCACACAACAAACATTCATACGTACATTAATTCAGTGTTGCTTGGCGGCCGCTGTTGGTTCGTTCGGGGATCGATATTGATACATTTTTGTACCTAAATTTGTCAGCCAATGGGAATACAAAATATCAAATCTTTTCTAAGCAGAAGATTAATGCTTGTACTCCCGTAATGTTCAATACTCAATTAATGATACGTGAAGACAGAATGTTGTATCAAGTACAAAAATATAAATGTATTTCTTTTTATATTATACTTTATAATCTTGGGCACATGTTGTTATGGGATCCAACCATTTTTGTTTTGTTGTCAGCATTCATATTGGCTGGGGAGCCATTTAATTTAATTAGTTTTAATAATATTTATAAGGTAAAACATCACTACCAGAGTTTTAGCTCTTTTTATTATTGTTATCTCCAATACATGTATAATTGGCATAGAAGCTTTCTTTGTATTGAGTAAATAAATAAATAAAATGAGATCATATTTTACAGAACAGAAAGTAAATTAAAGAGAGGCGTCTACTCTTTTTTAGAATATAAGTTTTTTCTTACATAAACCTTCATATAAATATGGAATAAAACTTATATACATTTATGATAAATAGCTATACTTAATGCCGGAAGGTTAAATCTAAAACATGGTATCTGTTTAACACTTTAGGGCCAATATTGCCCAGAGGCAACAAAATGTTTTCCAATTGTACGAAGTCTGCCAACAGAATTATTTTTTATTCTTGTAAAAATTATTATAGGGAATGTTAACGCCAAGGTTAGCTATGCTGATCACCCTATTTGATATTTAAAATGTTCTTTCATTTGCTTAAATTTGCATCTAACCCTTGGTACTAAATGTTAATGTACAAAATGCAAATGTTTGCTTTTTACACTGGTTGTTCCTTTTTTCATTTATGTAAATATATATACTTCTTTTCTAACCAACAAACATCACTGTTCTTAGTAAGATTCACTTCCAAATTCTATACGGAATTTCAACCAATAATATTCCACCAATTTGGCCCATTCGCACCGGATAATTGGATAGCTGTTGCAAAATTCTACAAATAACATTTGTTTACACCATTAATTTCATCAAAAACAAGGTAAGTTTGTGCTTTTCATTCCTAAAGTAAACAATAGTGCATTCTTATGTGTGGTGTTCATGTGCGTTTTGCAGACGGCAATTGGTTTTTGAATTTTTTTTCGAAAGCACAGTGTTTCCAGCTGCAGTGTAAATTTCTTTCATTTTCAAATTAATAAAATTCAAAACATTGGTGGAATATTCAATTATTATATTTTCATATTATTATTTTCATTATTTATTCTAATTCATTTTATTACGCTCGACATACGTATATCATTTCTATTCTTGTTTGTTTGCTGTTCTTTTGTTCGGTCATCCAACGACCAGTGTTCCTTACCACTGTAGTTTTTGTTGTTATAGATCTAACTGCCGTAGCACTGCTTGTTCTCACACAACAAACATTCATACGTACATTAATTCAGTGTTGCTTGGCGGCCGCTGTTGGTTCGTTTGTTCGTGCGGTCAGCCAACCGCCCGCGTGCTCTTATGTGTGTTTTCACTCAACAGTAGTAAAGGTATTCTCTTTACTTGTGCGTGCACCTTACCGTCGTTCATTTTATATGGTCGCACTGTAACTTGTTTGCGACATTCATATATTAATATATTACTTGTACATATTTAAAGTAGTTGGTGCTGTACATTCTTTCTTGTTCCTTTGACGTCTGCCCAATTGGTTAAGATTCATATTTCTGAAGTTAAGTCCTTATGGGTAGACATCAAATCAGCGCACGACCAATCTATGTCCGATCGAGCTAGCGAGGAACAGAACGAGGAGGATGATAAACCAGAAGAAGATGCAGAAGCCGCTTCGGAGCTTGAGACATTCAAGGCCAAATACAACAGTGCCTATATTACTTACTGCGAGTGCTTGGCTCGCCTCACAGATGTTGTCTGAGGATCTCCAAGGACTAACAGTTCCCAAAGAGCCTTATGTTTCACCTTCGAACTCTTCGCCCAGAGTCCTAATTTTACAATTGATTTATTTGACCCAGAAGACTAAAGGCGAACCTAGAGATATAGTTCAACGTTCACCTTTGACAAATCAACGTTTGCACTTGCTTAGAAAGGATGATGCGATCGCTTCGAAAATAAGGGAATTCTTGTTAATGGCCAGTTAAAAGTTCTATTCAATCTTCCTGTACTTAAGTCCGAGTCGGCGAGTGCAATTAAGTCATTGCTATGCGATATAAATTCTTGCATTGCTGTGTTATCTCTGTACGATATCGATGTTAGAAGTTGGGATCCAATATTTGTTTTTGTTTTGTTTTTCAACTCTGTGCTTTTCAACTCTGTGCAACAGTGCTATTCCAAAGTGGGCTGACCTTGATTCTTTCCTCGCGAATCGATATCGGACTTTAGAATACGTCTTCGCAATTATCCGAAGTCTGATGATCGTAAAACTAAATCCAACGTCAATTCAAAAAATTCGAAGTTCAGCTTTCCATACCAAAGTTACGGCTCCAAATTGTCTTTGTGCCCAAATTCGGCTCATATTATTCGAAAATGTCCTAGATCAAGAAACAAGGACTGTGTCTGAATTGTTTCTCGAAACATCACAACATAAACATTTTACGAGCCAAAATAACTGCTTTGAATGTCAAACGCGGCAGAACGCTATACTTCATGAGCGTTC